TACCCTATACCTTTAATTACAGAATTATTTGACAGGCTGAAACATGCCACTGTGTTCACTAAATTAGACCTTAGGAGTGCATACAATTTGATACGTATAAAGGAAAATCACGAATGGAAGACTGCATTCAACACTAGATCCGGTCATTACGAATATACTGTTATGCCATTTGGGCTTTGCAATGCCCCAGCAGTATTCCAAGAATTTATTAATGATGTCTTAAGAGATTTTATTCACACATTTGTTATCGTATACTTGGACGACATTTTAATATATTCTACAGATATACACACTCATCACAGACATGTTACGACAGTTTTGAAGACCCTTCTTGCTAATGGTCTTTATTGCAAGCTAGAAAAATGTCTGTTTGACCAAACCGAAGTCCAGTTCTTGGGGTATTTGATTTCCGCTAAAGGTTTTCGTATGGATCCCCAGAAGCTAGCTGCTGTAATAGAATGGCCTCTACCGCAAGGTCTGAAAGCTATTCAGCGTTTTCTTGGGTTCTCCAATTATTATAGACGTTTTATCAAAGGTTTCTCGTCCATTGTAGCACCTATTACCCGTATGACTAAAAAGGATGGCAATACTCGTGTTTGGTCTACCGAGGCACTTCAGGCTTTTGAATTTCTTAAAACTACGTTCGCCTCTGCACCTATTTTACAGCATCCTGTCCCCTCACTGCCCTATATTCTTGAAGTTGATGCTTCGGATATTGGGGTAGGTGCTGTCTTATCCCAAAGAGAGTCGCCTGAAAAGCCATTGCATCCATGCGGCTTCTTTTCTAAACAAATGTCCAAAGCAGAGAAAAATTATGATGTGGGTAATCGCGAACTCCTTGCTATTATTTTAGCACTTAAAGAGTGGAGACATTTGTTAGAAGGAACTAAGGATCCTATCCTCATTTTTACGGATCACAAGAACCTATCCTACCTTAGCGAAGCCAAAAGATTGTCTTCCAGGCAGGCTAGGTGGTCACTATTTTTGTCCCGTTTCAATTTTATTATCACCTATAGGCCAGGTGATCGCAACACTAAAGCAGACGCTCTGTCCAGACAGTTCGAAACTACTGACAAACAGGAGATTGATGTTACTCCTGTCATTCCCCCAGACAGGATAATAGCTACTACTATTTTGTCTATTTCCTCGTCCCTCTTGCAGGCCATACAAGCGAAACAAAGCATGGCACCTAGCGAGAGGCCTAATGATAAACTGTTCGTTGATGTTCCTGAGAGACGGGATATTATGTCATTATATCATGATACTAAGACCGCTGGACATCCTGGTATTTCCAAAACGGTGTCAGCTGTTTCTCGGTATTTTTGGTGGGATTCCTTACGAAAGGATGTCACTGACTATATAAGTGCTTGTACTACTTGTGCCTGTATGAAATCCTCCCGTAGAGTTCCTTGTGGGCTGTTGCATCCGTTACCCGTTCCCGAGAGACCTTGGTCTAACCTGTCCATGGATTTTATTGTTGAATTACCCCCTTCAAATGGTAACACAGTAATCCTGATGATAGTGGATCGGTTCTCCAAAATGGCTCACTTCGTGTCTCTTCACAAGTTGCCCACATCCAAGGAACTGGCTCATATCTTCGCTAGAGAAGTATTTCGATTACATGGGATTCCCGTATCTATTGTATCCGATAGGGGTAGCCAATTTATTTCCAGGTTCTGGAGGGCCTTTTGTTCAGAAATGGGTATTTCTCTCTCATTTTCTTCCGCTTATCATCCCCAGTCTAATGGGGCTGCTGAACGTGCCAACCAGTCTCTGGAGCAATACCTCCGTTGTTTTGTGTCTCACCATCAGGACAATTGGTCTGACCTGCTTCCTTGGGCTGAATTTGCTCGGAATAACGCCACTCATGATTCTTCCGGCAAGAGCCCTTTTTACGTTGTCTATGGCCAGCATCCCGTTGTTCTTCCGGCTGCATTCTCCTCACAGGGCATGCCAGTTCTGGATGAGCATTTGGCTGGTTTGCGTAATACTTGGGAGCAGGTTCAGCGTTCTTTGGTGGACTCTGCTACTCGCCAGAAGGCTCAGGCTGACAAGCATCGCAGAGCAGCTCCGTCCTATGTTGTGGGGGACAGGGTTTTGCTTTCCACGCTGAATATTCGTCTCCGGGTGCCTTCTATGAAATTGGCTCCCCGCTTCATTGGACCTTATCGTATTATACATAAGGTTAATCCTGTTTCTTATGCCTTAGGCCTGCCTAAGAATCTACGTATTCCTAATGTTTTTCACACCTCATTGTTGAAACCTTTCGTACGCAACCGCTATACCCGGCATACTCCTCCTCCCCCTCCTATCTCGGTGGAGGGTCATGAGGAGTTTGAAGTGTCTGCTGTTCTTGACTCTCGCTTCCTTAGGGGTCGACTTCAGTACTTGGTACATTGGAAGGGTTATGGGCCTGAGGAGCACAGTTGGATTTCGGCTGATGCTGTCCATGCTCCCCGTCTTGTGCGCTCTTTCCATTCTCGTTTTCCTGCCAGGCCTGGTCCTACCCGCCCGGGGGGCGTGTCCTCAGGGGGGGGTACTGTAGCGTTACTTACCTTAACCGGGGGCCGGTCGCGGTCCTCTCTTCAAGCCGCGCGCGGTCCTGCGGCTGCACGAGCCGCGCGCGGCTCATCCGACTGCTTTGGATGGAAGGCGGGCAGTGACCGCGTGAAGCGGTCACGTGTCCCGCCTGAAACTAAGAGCGCGCCGCGAGTCTCGGGCGCGCTCTTAAAGAGACAGTGGGAGCCTAATTGCCAAAAGGCTCCCATTGGCTCCTGTCATACCACACTCCCTGGACAATTACCTATAGGGGGTGTGGAAGTGACAGGAGCCAATCACTTTCGTTTTAAAGCTATTTAAACTTACCTTTTTCCCTTAGCTCGTTGCCCTATCGTGGTTTCTGTTTCAGTTCCCTTTAGCGCTTGTGGTGTTCAGTTGTGTTTTCTCGTATTGACTTTGGCTTCGTATTCTGACTTCGTTTTCGCTTTATCCTTATCTGTACTGTTTGCCGGCTTGCTGTTTTCCGTGTACCAGACCCCGGCTTGTCCTAGTTTACGCTGTCTCTCTGTGCCCTTGACCTCGGTTTGTTCCTGGCTCTGTCTCCTCTCATATACGTCGAGTCCGGCCATTCTAAGGTCCGGTAGACGTATCTCTCCTCTGTATTTGCCTCTGTTTAGCTGGATCCTGCGTGTAGGGGTATATTCTCGTTACACTATCTACCAAACAGCACAAATGTAACAAGGGCCCTTTTTCTTTATTTTGCACTTTTTCTTGTTTAGTAGATAACTCCCTAATTTGCTATCCTTCTTAAAATAAATGGCTCCAAAATAATTTGTTTAGTCATTTCAAATTTGTTTGTTTTTGTTTTGCTTCGGTTTGCGTCATCGTCAACTCAGATACTGATTGATGAATACGGAACATTTTTTAATTGGAACTAAACTAATTGCTCATGTCTACGGCAAACTACTTGGTGTTTTCACATTATTTGAGTAGCAATGCATTTATGCGATTGTAAGGCGCTAATCTTCAGTTCACATCCTATGTTCTTCTGCAGGTATTACCAAAAGGCGCCAAGAGGTCACCTATAAAATCCCACCAAACATTGTGCCCAAATCACCAGTCAATCGAATTTTAACTCTTAATGGTAAGTTGTTTTTGCTTTGTTATGAAAACTTGTACAGATAAACCATAAAATATAGTTATGGTAAGAAGTTGAGAGAACTATATATTTGTAAAAACTTGGTCGGTCTGCCTGGGAGTATCAGAAATGACCTACAACAGATCATCGGACTTCCAGCGTAGGGCATCAGAGAAAAAGTGTTTAACTCAACAACTGCTCATTCCTTGCCTATCTTCAACCTAAAATGGCTTTCCTCTATCACTGGACAGAC